GGAAGACATATTATGGAAAGCTTCCTCTCTAGAAGATATAGCATATGACAACAACACCATGTTCATTATCAACCCTGACAAACATGACATTGCCATCGAAAGAGTGCTTGTGGCCAACCAAGGTTACTGCTACAAAGTAAATGCGAATGGAACTGTCATACAAAAATCGGTTGATCTTGGGTTCACCTTCGATATTGTTTTATTTCTAAATTCATCAAATGGAGTACAACTTTATACCTCTCCAACAGACGCCGTCCATGTTCTCATACAAGATCACAAACAATTTTGATAGCATCCTTTTACCAAAGGCGATGAGAAAGAGGCTCGCAAGAAATGAAAGTGAATTATCATGCACTTATTCAATTTATGAAAGCCTCTATAATTCGAATTACGCTTCCTGCAACTGCGAACTACCGTGTACAGAAACAAGATACAATAAATATTCATCATCTGCAAAGCTAACATCTTCTGATCCAAGTATCCATAAGCATATCGTGGCTATTAACGTCTTCTTTGGGGGTATGGAGTATGAGAAAATAACTGAACTTAAAATGTATACTACTGAAAGGTTTGTTGGAGAAATCGGAGGCCAGATGGGAATATGGATTGGTGCATCAATTTTTTCTTTATTTGAGCTGATTTATTTGTTCGTCCAGTTTGCGGGTGTTTTGTGCCGGAAGAAAAGAAGTAAACCTTCTAACCTTGAAAAAGGGATGTCAAAAGAAGTGAATGATTCTGTTTTTTGAAAAGTTTTAGGATACGCCGTATTCCTATTAAGGTTACGGTGAACGTTTTTGACACGATATTTGGGTTTCTCTCCCTAAAAATCAAACTATTAATGGAATTAGATTAAACTATACATCATTCGATGCACAAAAACATGCCGATACCAACCATATTAAAATAATTGGCAAATATGGTAAAATGATACTTTCCAGGCAAATTTATTGCATAAATGAGTGTACCACCTTCAAAAGCTATTTTGTACCCTTGCGTTTTAGGTATCAAAATCTGACTTATATAGGCATGTAATATAGGTACTTATTTCATTTTAGGTCAGTCTTGCGTTTATGCTTATATTTGTTCATGCTTCTCTTTGTTTAGGATATATTAGTTTGTCGCGTGTTAGTTTTTCATGTTTTCCGGTATAGTAATATTTTACATGCCCTTTTACCCTACAAAGTTCCCCTGCGTATCCTAATATATCTAACACCTCCTACTAGTTCATTTACGTATTGCACGATAGATACCGACAATAACACCGGCAATTATTGATATTAGCTTGCATATTGTAATGCTGTTATATAAAGTAGAGTACGGAGAAACAGAGTTAGTTAGTTAGAGAGAAGCGTGGTGCTTGCGAAAGGCCACTGCTATCAAACATGTAGACACTAACTCACACACACACAAAGAACTGTCATGGATGGAAAGGCTAAGAGAGGGCTGATGGCATTCAACCCGAGTGGCTTGTGAAAGCACTCGAGGTTTCGTTTCATATATATATAATTTAATGGCGTAACAGTGCTTGTGAAAGGCTGTTTAGTACCTAAGTTTCGATATTGTGTAAAAGAACGTCTTAGTTTTGGATGGAATAAAAGGAATTGATTTTGTGTGTCAAAACGTGTCGTTTATTCGCTCGGTCAATCGCTCAAACAACGAATGGTGTCAGAAGTTTTACAAATGTATATACCAGCAGCAAATTTTACAAGCAGAAAGCTACCAAATTTTGTCTCAGATTTTTCAAATTCCTCCTCCCCTTGAAACTGTACCCTGTCAAAAATTGGCAAACAATTTCCTTCCCTCCCATAGCTGTATTTGGCTATAAAGGACGGACCAGAGCAAATACAAAAATTTTGAGACACTTTTTGATTGACTTTGAGACACTTTGAGACACCCGACATCTGTCCTGGCCGTGTGCAAATTTTTGAGCCATTCGATTGGCTCCTTGGGTACACAATAGCTTTTTCGTACCTGTATGTAGAGGATTTGTGAGTCCGGAGAAAACGAGATTTTACTGATCTCGCTTGCAAGGTACACTCGTAAACCACAGTGTAATCCGGGTCAAGACACTAGAAGCTTTAAGATCAATAAGCCTGTTTAAATAAACACGGCCGTACATGGATGTGCCATGAGATATTGTAAATGAGACATGCGACAACAACCGCAAAGCAACGATAATCGGCTTAACAGGTCAAGAGATTTTCAGGCCTCAACTAAAAGTTCTGATAAAGAAATTATGGAAACCTTCGTTTACATGGCATTTTTTCAATTTTCAAGATTTCTGTTAGTTTCAATTTTGGTATCATTGTGTGCCTTGAAAGTTCGGCTACTTGAATGTGAGATAATCGAAAAATGGATGTTTTCATCCAGAAAACGTTTACAGTAACCTTAACGTCATATGGTTCATTTTGCGCAATTCAATCTGGGCTTGGTAGTCACGGCGCTACTCGCAAGCAGCATTTATTGCAAAGAAAACAAATTAAGCCCGCTGTAAACGTGACAACAGGCTGTATTCTCGCTAGAGGATATGCCTTGTAATCAATGGGATGTTTTTAATGCATCCCAATTTTATATCAACCCTTTTATCGAAAGGTATTTGTTGTGTAATTGAGTTATCTCTTATTTCTTCATGGTTTTACCCTCCTGTTAAGTTTCTCTTACATATCCTGGAAAATATTTGAAGCGAAATAGAAAAAATAAACTCTCGATCAACCCTTTTTCTCTTAAAGCCAAAAATCTCGCAGTCAAAAATCTCACAGAATTTAACCATTTGACTGCTACATCTTTAATACACCTCATCTGTGAGCATAAACATTTCAATTATCATCATTGAGAACCCTAAGCAAAGGCCGATTGTTTTCTATTTCAGTGTGATATTTCCGTTAACTTCAAACTCGTATATGTATTTATCTTTAGAATTGACTGTGATAGCCTAAACTTCAGAGGGATTGGCAACGATTTCATTGTATTTAAACCAATCAAGGAATTTGTCAATGTTGGTTTTTTGTAATTTTTTATAGTTTCTCAATAGGTGAGCGCTCTGGTCTTTCCCCTGAGTCTTTCACGTTATGCTACGCTTCTTGCACTGCTGTATCTGTTAATTCAAAAGTTTAGTTAGTGGACCATTTAGGACTGTATAGACCTGGGAGCGAGTTGGTTTTTTAGAAACTTTGGCTAGCACGAGCAAAGAAGGCGACTATTAGGCTTCTACTGGAGATCCTACCATAATCATTAGTGTGAGGCACAACTCTGTAAGCCTCGAGACTTCAATTTTATTAACAATACAGGTTTTAAAGTTGGTTTCCACATTGTTTATTTTTACGTCTAAAAAGTGCAATGTATGCAGACGCCAACACACCACCGTCAGCCAGCACTACTAGAATTAAAGCCATCGCAACGTATTCAGAACCGGCACAAGGGGCTTTGGTGAGTGTCAAACTTTCCCCTTCCAGGTCACTGGAAAATGATGGAAACCTTCATTTTCAAAGTTGAGCACTTTAGATGTGAATAACACTGGCTTTCAGTCATTGCTTTTTGATAGTCAACTCCTGTTACAGTTAAGTGGATATGCCTTTCTTATATGCATTATTTCAATTCAATTTGTATCATCATCTGCACAATTGCCCAAAAGAATGGAACCAAGAACCGGACCTTGAGGAACACCTGTTTTCCCTTTCCTTTCCATTAACTTTACTTAAGACTAACCTTTATGCTTTGGCTTTCTCCCAGCAGGTGATCTTGGTAAATGCAAAGCACCTCTACTTGTTCAGTTAGAAACAAACAAACGCTATGGAGAGGAGCGTGCAAAGGAGTGGAGTTAGTGACCGCAGATTGACCTTGTTGATTCGTACGATAGCAAATCTCCATTATAAGTGCTTACTTGAATTGAAATTTATTTTTGCTTTGCTTTGCGCCTCGTTTACATAACATTGGACTCAACAAAATATGGTGTTCAAACGACCCAACATTTCACATAAAGTTCATAACAGAATACTTTTTTCTGGGCAGAAAGTTTCAACCAGGTGTCAAAGACTGCTCTTTTTCTCCTCTCTTCTTTCTTTTCCTTAAAAAATTGGTTTTTAAGTAAGCATTTTTGTCGTTTACTTTTTACCTTCTATGGCTAAATACCAAAAACAAAATGTTGGGTAAAATGTTTGACCGTGACTTGAGGTGCTCTTTTGGGGTCTTGGTGAAGGGTCTTTCTCTAAAAGCTAAGCTTTTTGCCTCAACAGACAATGATCCAGACAACCTATTTGGAACTGTTGCAAAAAATAGAATGCGAAGCGAAGTACTTCGGATCGGCCTTTTGCTTCGCCACTAGCACGGCGTGACTTAAATTCCGGTTTGGCTTTCAGTATCCATAAGTTAAAGAACCGGAAGTGAACCAAAACACGGCGTCATGTAATTCAGGCCCCAAGGTTTATACAAAAACGTACGCAGAAATGTTACATAGAAAGACTGATATCAAACCTTATGACGTTTGGTTATGTTATAAAACGATTAAGCTGATGTACTCTATAGATCTTATATGAAAATTCTTGTATGAATTCGTAAATGATTCATGCATGATATTATGATATCATATTCATATAAGAAAATTTCGTTATTTGTTCTATAACACATATTGTATTCAATCAATTAGTAATCGAGACACCAGTAATTGCACCATTACATCTCACCGTCATAAACACAATGTTTGGGTATTTTTATACAAAATTCATGGCAAACGTACCTAATTAAATGGATTTCCCGGTATTTGAAAATAACATGGTTTTTCTCATTAATTTATTCATGTGAAGGCTCCCTTTGATCATTATAATACCTGCTTTATCGCAATCTACCCCACCGAATTTCGATTGCCATTTAGATTTCCATTTTTGGACCATATAATAGACCTATTGTTGCATATCCGATCGGCAACGTGAATCTGATTCTTAACGTTAAAGGCATTGAGTCCTGGTAAATAGGAAGCGTATACCCAAATTGCAAAAATTGCTGAGTCATTATGATAGCTTCGCTAATCGGATTGGCTGTCAAGCAACCTGCACACACAATATTGTAAGTGCTCTTTGTTCCGCCGTTTCTAAAGGTTCTTTCTTTCTCTCTCTTTTCTCTTGCTCTCTACAAAAGATTTCAAAACTTCTTTCCCCATTTGTACCTTTCAAAAGCCAAAAAGGCTTTTCAAATGCCTTTCGCTTTCGACAAAGAATGTCTGATCACATGAAAACAAACAAACCCCCCCCCGCGGAGAACCAGTATTTACCATGACTCAATGCCTTTAACTATCGAGTACAAGTGCACAGTTGTGCCGTTGCTAACCCTGAACGTTGACTGGCGGGAGGTAGTGCCTCTACAGAGGTTGAATAGAGATACCAAGAAGATTCCAATATCCTGATCAGTTGCAGAGACCCGAAGGAAAGAGCAAGCGGTAACAAAATTCGTTGTTATTAACAACTTTAAAGATGGATCAAAGAACAGCAAACGACTTGAAAGAATCAGCAGCGAGTTTGACGATGCATGGATTCGGAAGATTGCTATCGACCAAATCAAAGGCAATGAGATGCATCTGGCTGTTGCTAATGCTTTTTTTTGTATCACTTGTAATTTTGACAGTGATGCCAACAGTACGGAGATACTTCAAAAGCCCGTCTTTAACAAAAGTAGAAACTGTTAGGGTATCTGAAATGAAAATGCCAGCCATAACAGTATGCGGACCAACATTAAGCAAATACCGGGTCAAGCAGTTCGCTGAAAAATCTAATATTACCCTGGAAAAGGACAAGCACGGGCAAATCAGCAACTTAGAGGAGATTTTATCAAAATATGATTCTCCTGCTAAACTTGCATACGACACTCGCACCTTCATAATTAATCCGAAATCTGGCTTGGAAAGATTAGGTATCGAGTACCGTGGCTATTGCTACAAGATAAATTCAAATGGAACATTTATTCAACGAACAGCAGGCCCCGACAGGTCACTTGAAATTGTCTTGTTTCTCAATGTGTCAGATGGCATGTCTATTTCATCACGTCAACCTGGTGACTCCGTTGAGGTGATTATTCAAGACCACAAACAATTTCCATCTGTGGATTCTGGGACAGTTCTCGCCCCTGTTGGTCATTTGACACAAATAGAGGTTAAGAAAACAGAGATACGGAGGCTCAAATCCCCGTACCCTTCAAAATGCACAAATGGTGAAAACATGAAGTTGCTGTTCAAAGGAGAATATACAATCAATAACTGCAGACTATCTTGCTTTCTTTCGAAGGTTGTTCACAAATGTAAAACGATATATCACTTTTATAATCTTCTTTTGCCGAAAAAGATGAGAAAACCACCTAGTAGCAGAGAGGATGATTTTCTTTGTCAGAACAACATAGAAAAAACACTGAGAAGCGAGGAATATGCTTCTTGTGGATGCAGATTGCCATGCAATGAAATTAGGTTTCGTAAAAGTGCTTCATTTTCAAAATGGCCGTCAACACAAGATATTGCATGGGAAAGGGTCTCTCTTGGCTTCGAAATAGGTTTAAATAAGAGTAACCTGACAGAAAAATTTGTTCGTGACAACTTTATTGCCATCAATGTTTTTTTTGGTGACATGGAATATCAGAAAATAACTGAAATTCCGATGTACACGCTTGATAAACTAATTGGAGAAATTGGAGGCCAGATGGGAATCTGGGTTGGTGCATCCATCTTTTCTTTGCTTGAGCTGATTTATTTATTTGTGCTGTTCGTAAGATTCTCCTGGAGAAAGAAGAGAGCCTTTAACCTTGATAAAAGTAGTGCGGTAGAAGAACAGTGATTCTCTTCATTAAGTAACATGGAACATTGTAAAAAAGTAAAAGTTTTTCTTCAGCTTCTTGAGATTAAACAAATCTTTAAATTAAGGCCCTTGTGGGCCAATGGTCCTTTACTTGTGCCAAATGGCCTATCCGTAACATTTTGTGACAAAGGCACGAGAAAAGCACATATTGATGCATTTTTGCTTGCATCGTTGTGTTATATTATTGAAATAAGCTCCTAACATAAGCAATTTTCGTAGCTGTTCTTAGTCATTGTCTAAATCTATTTTTATGCATCGTATGGAAAGATGTCCGGCGTTGTTGAGTATGTTTTCGAAAATACTGCCAAGCGGGTGGAGTTCGGGGGGTTGGGTGGTGGTGGGGGGCTCAGCGGGCTTAAAAGTAGCCCTCGCCTTCTTTTTGCTATTGTTTTTTTAAAAATGTTAACCATTTATACACATGCAATATACATGTAGGTTAGAATTTTACCCTCTACCAACCTCAACAAGTAGCTTAAAATGTCAGGGGAATCACGCAAACATGCCTGGTAAAGTAGAATTGTGGAAGATTAGAAGAGAAAAGTTTTTCGTGTTTTTAAATCGTTGTTGAGAATCAGCTGATGTAAAGAAGCACTTGAAGAAATAACTTGGTCTCTGTCTTTTGTCTCTCTGTGGATCCCCATTTGTATCTATCTCCGATGCAATACTGTTTCTCTGGATTGTTTTATCTGACGATCGCTTTATTGTTTTGCTTTAATGCTTTAAAGGTGCGAGCATGGCTCAGTGATTAGGTCCCTGACATGTCTACTTTTCCCCCTAGAGTGAGGAGAGTCGCCAGCTCTCTGTAATCTCAGACGTAGGAATCACGGGGTGAGGTCACATCGAGAGGAAGGACCAGGACACTGCTTGTGCTTTTCAGTGTCCTAAAACCACTTTAAGAAGCTAGGTAGCAAACAATACAATATGTTTTGCTAATGCATTATGATATTGGTATAAGGCGTGGTTCAAACGTCGTGCTTCTCATGTGCCGAACCTAGCTCGAGAATTAAGTACATGAGGGGCGCGACGTTTTAATCAATTTGGTATGGCAGATTTAGTTAGGAGCGGCAGACTAGTTTGGATCGGCAGAGCTTGCCGAGCTGCACGGCTCCAGCACGGCACGGTTTCAAGCGTCGAACTTGTCATGTACCGAACTCAATGCATAATTATATTTAATTTATTTTCCTTCCCAAAATTCATTTCTTTCTTGGAGGGCGCCTGCGTTTCAAACAAATATTTGAGATTGTGCGCCTCAACCAAGATACTTCATGTAACAATCTTAAAACCCATTTGGCGCGACATGATTAAGTTCGACGTTTGAAACGGGAGTCGCGCTAAACATGCTCAAGTGTCGCTCCAAACAGAGTTGAGTTCGGCACATGATAAGTGCGACGTTTGAACCAGGCCTTAAGTCTCTCCTCGTTACTTCTGCTCTTTTATCTTGCTCTCCTCTTCTTTTTCCCTGTTCTTCTTTATTGCCACTCATCTTCATACATCTGATCTGTCCTTCTGAAGAATAACTGCCCTATTGCCTATAGGAATCTTGGTCAAATTATTTTTGTTTGGCTTGAAAAGCAGTTAAACACTATAAAGCTCGAGCTTTGAATTCTGGGACTAAATTTAGTAACAATGCTAGGTATTCCTTAAATACGAGCAGGGTTATTGGTAGTAAGTCAAGATGTTCCGGGGAATGTTGATGGCGGTGCACAAATACAACAAGGCATTGAATGTGAATGTCTCTCGGATTTTGCGGACCAGCCATTGTTGATTGTTCAGTTCAGGTAAGACATCATCTCTTGAAAGATATGCTTGTAAATTGAGGATTTTTTGTTCAAATAACCAATGCTATGAGTTAACAACTTTTATCATAGTGATCTACCTCAAAATGTCAGTAAAACATCTACTTTTCAGGAATTTAAAATCTCCAAAGTAAACGCGATGCAATATTTAAGAACATTTAACGTTAACTGTGTGTTTTCCAAGAACAGAATAGCACATTTTCAAAGCTACGATACGGCAATCAACGGAATTTCCTGTTGTAAAAACCACTCAACCTTCCGTTAAGATTCAAGTAGCTAAATTTGATTTCTGCTTTATTTTCAATCCTTTGAATACAGAGAGATGCATTGAAAACATCTCCAAATTCCCTTCTATTTAAAGTGTCTTGAGAAGAAAAGAACGTTGAATACAAAATTCAAAATCAATGAATACAATCTTTAGAAAATTGTCCTGCTGTTTCAGTAGCTAGGCTTTTCTGTAACTTTACTTAGCTCGTCTTCCGTGAATTGATATCTCTCTATTGGTAGTTTATTAGCTTTACGTTGCCGATTTGACACTTAACGATAGATCTACTGTATAGTCCAATCAATGGGAAATTGAATGGCCATGGAAATTGAATGGCCATGGAAATCAATTGTCTTTATAGTGCCTTTACGGAGGTGTTACAATGAACGAACAATCATTATTCAAGTACCGGCAATCCAATTTTACTAGATGCATCTGCCATTTAATATGGCCGAAAAATATCACCCAAAAAGTAGTATTAACGAGAGTGAGATATATGGTGCAATTATTGGTGTCTCGATTTCTAATTGAATGAATATCACATGTGGGATAGAACGAATAAAGAAATTTCAATATTTGGATAGACATTCAATATCACGCATGAATCATTTACGAATTCATTTAAGTATGTTCATATTTAATCTAAAGAATACACCAGCTTTATCGCTTTATAATGTAGCCAAACGTCTGATGTTAGCCTGTCCATGCAACCCTTCTACCTAGCTTTTTGTTTCACACTTACAGGTAATAAATCTATATAGAAGGGTTGCGTATACCCAACTTGTCAAGTAACATCAAAATATTGGTTTGCGATTGGTCAGTATTGCAAAACTACTCACATGAAAAGCTTACCTCGCAGCAGAGTAGACAAACAGAACTACCGTAATGGCTGCAGGCGCGCAACTACGGGGGGGGGGGGTCCTGGGGGTCCAGACCCCTGCCTTTTTTCTCAAAAGGGGAAAAGTGCCCTTATTCCTGGAAAATTGCTTGAATATTTTAACTATTACGCTAAAATGGTTGGTCATACAGTAAATGACACACTCCGGAGATGTAATGGACCTCGCAGGAATACAGATAAATGATTTAGTCAAACTTTCACGCACTTGTTTGGTCGAACGTCATCATGTTGCAGTAATAGAGTCTATCTTCAAGCCCCAACTCTACAGCGTGTTTTATGATGCGCTACGCACTGGCTTTGAAGAAGAATGGTTCTGCGACTCAAAAACCAAAATAAAGGCACAAGATTTTGAACGGGATAGAGCCTCTACGACCTCTGGTAAAAAGTTACAAGAATAGAAACCAAGACATTTTTCAAGCCTGTCACATAGTTGACAGGGTCAAAGAAGATCTTTGCATGAAACGAGCGAATGCAGAGAAATATTTTCGGACTGGTATTAGCAAGCAGTAAATATGGCACAAAAAGTTGATGTTCAGCTGTTCCGTTCCTTGTCAGTATTACAAATCAGCTGAAGGCAAGACTTGGAGACAGAAACCAGCTGAAGGCAAGGCTCGTGGAACTGTTCAACCTCCTCCAATCTGTAGTGCGAAGCAAAGAATTCAATAATAATATTTTAAAGCGCAAAATGTCTTCGGATATGGAAGATGATGGGTTGCTATTCAAAAGTGAGCTGGCGCTGGGAAAAGGAGATGACAGCAGGGTCGCCGAGAGGGGGACAAAGGGGCAAATTGCCCTAGGGCCTCGAGGTCTAGGGAGCCTCACAAAGCAATGAATTCCGTTTTTAAATGGAATTTATTAAAAGTAACAAAATTACAATTAAAAAGTAAACATCTTAAACGCATTAGTGAATTTAAGCTATTTGCAAGGGTGTAGTGGCAAAATTTTTGCTCGCTTCGCTCGCAAGAGGCATTGTTTTTTCCATTTCCCCCCTCCTTCGGGCCTCCTAAACTTCATCACACCTCACCACAAAATAAACCGTACACCACAACTTTTCTCTATTGATCAGTTTCCCTTGTCTGGCGTACAATATTTGCAGATTTACTAACTGCTCATATTTTCGGTGTACCTAAACAAATGCCCCGGTGGACCTTTTCTGAAGTTTAATTAGTGCCCTTTTTGTGTCTTGGACCCCTGCCCTCTGAAATTTCTGGTTGCGCGCCTGGGCTGGGAAGTTGAAATAAAAAAACACATGTTTCTGAAAACCCCCGCAGAGTTGCTTGCTTTAGCTTGACACATTACCTTTAGGGCCGGACGTACACGACGCCGTTTTGGGTTAACTTCTGGTTCTTTTACTTATGAATACTGAAAGCCAAACCAGAATTAAACCGGAACCGGAATTAAAGTCACGCCGTGCTAGTGGCGAAGTGAAAACCGACCTGAAGTACTTCGCTGCGCATTCTATTTTGCGTCACAGCTCTGAATTGGTTGTCTGCATCATTTTCTTTCGATGCAACGAGCTTAGTGTTTAGAGAAAGATCCTTCTCACCAAGACACTAAACTGCTTCCCAAGTCACGGTCAAGCGATCAAACATTTTACCCGACATTTTTTGTTTGGTATTTAGGCAGAGAAAGTAAAAACTAAACAACAAAAATATGTTTATTTGCAGACCTATTTTGATGGGTCCAATGTAATGTAAACAAGACGCAAAGCAGAGCGACAATAAATTTCAATTCCAGTAACCACTTTTAATGGAGACGTGATCAGACCTGTCCCGGTTTTGCCAAGAGACTCCAGGTTTTGCTTGCTTTCTACCGGTCTCCCGGTTTTTTATGATTTTCTCCCTGTTTTTCCTTGTCCTACAGCAAAGGTTTTCTTATAGCAAAAACGATTCAAATGACTTTCTTCGCAACAAAATTTTTTTTCAATGTTTTCAAATTAACAAAAACGTTAAAAACCATTAGGAAGACGCTACCCATGATAATTCTTTTCATTAATTGTTTGTCCAAAATGACATTTTTGACAGGTATGTTGTTTATAAATTCAACAAATTCCAGGGATCTCCCTGTTTTGTGGGCAAATTTTCCTGTTTTTCTCAACAAAAAAACTAAAATCTCCAGGTTTTGAAAATTTTAGGTTGACAGGTCTGCGTGCTATCGTTCAAATCGACAAGAGCAACCTGGGGTCACTAACTCAACTCCTTTGCGGACTTCATGAAGTTAATGGAACACAGCACTCTCCTCCCCAAAGCGTTTGTTTGTTTCTAACTGAACAAGAGGTGCTTTGCTTTTTATCTAAGATCGCCTGCTGGGAAAAAATGCCAAAGCATAAAGGTTTATCTTAAGTAAAGTGAATCGAAAGCTGTAAAAACAGGGGTTCTTCGAGGTACTATTTTTGGTTCCTTTCTCCTGTGCAATTGTGCAGATGATAATACAAATTGAATTGATAGAATGCATATAAGAAAGGCATATCCACTTAACTGTAACAGGAGTTGACTATCAAAAAGCAATGATTGGAAGCCAGTGTTAATCACATCTAAAGTGCTTAACTTTGAAAATAAAGGTTTCCATCATTTTCCAGTGACCTGGAAAGGAAAGTTTGATATTCACCAAAGCGTCTTGTGCCGGTTCTGAATACAATGCGATGGCTTCAATTCTAGTACTGCTGGCTGACGGTGGTGTGTTGGCGTCTGCATACATTGCCCTTTTTAGATGTAACAATAAACAATATGGAAACCAACTTAAAAACCTGTATTGTTAACAAAATTGAAGTCTCGAGGCTTACAGAGTTGTGCCTCACACGAATCATTTTGGTAGGATCTCCGGTAGAAACCTAAATGTCACCTTCTTTGCTCGTGCTAGCTAAAGTTTCTAAAAAACCAACCTGGTTCCAGGTTTCTATTGTCCTAAATTGTCCACTAAAGTTCACTAGTAATCGAAAGAACAAATAATTGTCATGACAAAGTGCTTTACAGAAAGACGAATAAGCTTAGTATGAAGTCGAGAGAAGGAGATTCGCTTTTTTGTTACTTGAAACGAACTTAACTTTTCAATTAACAAACACAGCAGTGCAAGTAGCGTAGCATAACGTGAAAGACTCAGGGGAAAGACCAGTGCGCTCAGCAAATACTGAATAACTATTACAAAATACAGAAACCAACACTGACAAATTCCTTGATAGGTTTAAATCAAATGAAATTACTGAAAATCTCTGTAAAGTTTAGGCTATCACAGTCGATTCTAAAGATAAATGCATATACTAGTTTGATGTTAACGGAAATATGCCACTGAAATTGAGAGTAATCTGCTTTTCTTAGGGTCCTCGATGATGATAATTTAAATGTTTATGCTCATAGATGTGGTGTATTAAAGATGTAGCAGCCAAATGGTTAAATTCTTTGAGATTTTTGACTGCGAGATTTTTGACTTTAAAAGAAAAAGGGATGATCTAGAGTTCATTTTTAGTTATTTCGCCTCAAATATTTTCCAGGATATGTAAGAGAAACTTAACAGGAGGGTAAAACCATGAAGAAACAAGAGATAACTTAATTCCACAACAAATACCTTTCGGTAAAAGGGTTGATATGAAATTGGGATGCATTAAAAACATCCCATTGATTACAAGGCAGATTTTCTTGCGAGAATACAGCCTATACGCCATATCCTTTCGACAATACGACGATAGGACGGCAAAAGCTGCAGCCGTGGCTGAGCTTGCTGATGCTCTTAGTGCCACGAGCGGTACTACTGCTCATTATTTGTAAACTTATTTGGATAAACACGAACAAGATTTCTCTCTAATTGAACTAACAACTGCACTTCTATTAATATATCCTTTCAGCAGCGTGGGTTGCCTATAAAGCTAAAAATCTCGAACGATCTAGGTTTTACTATCTACTAGCAACTAACAGTAAAACAGATAACACGCAAATTGTGCATAAAACCCATGTGTTCGGTTCTTTATAGTACAAAAGAGAATAAAATTAAATAAGTCGCTTAATTTAGGCCAAGCTAAATCCACAATTTTGGGCCTAATTTTTTGCCATTAGATGTGGCCTGGTTAAATCAAAGCTGGCAATATTTTTCATTGTTTTTGTCTAAATTTTCCCATCCCGTAACTTTTGAGGATGTCCAGGCACATGCATGGGTTATAAAAAATTTGATTCTTAATTTCTGGCCTTTTTTATCGAGGCTCATTACGAGGTGGAGACCAAAAGTCATTGGCCAAGGCAGAAAGATCGCAAGTGTGCGGGGGAAAATATTTAGTCGCCAGCGTCGGACAAAAATCACCGTCGTTGGCGACAAAAATCGCTAGTGTGCGCTAGGCTTAAATGCTGCTTGCGAGTAGCGCCGTGACTACCAAGCCCAGATTGAATTGCGCAAAATGAACCATATGACGTTAAGGTTACGGTAAACGTTTTCTGGATGAAAACATCCTTTTTTCGATTATCTCACATTCAAGTAGTTGAACTTTCAAGGCACACAATGATACCAACATTGAAACGAACAGAAATCTTGAAAATGGAAAAAATGCGATGTAAACGAAGGTTTCCATAATTTCTTTATCAGAACATTTAGTTGAGGCCTGAAAATCTCTTGACCTGTTAAGTGTTGCTTTGCGGTGGTTGTGGTCGCATGTCTCATTTAAAATATCGCATGGCACATCCATGTATCCCATGTACGGCCGTGTTTATTTAAACAAGCTTATTGATCTTAAAGCTTCTAGTGTCTTGACCCGGATTACGTTGTTTACGAGTGTACCTTGCAAGCAAGATCAGTAAAATCTCGTTTTCTCCGAACTCACAAATCCTCTACATACAGGTAAGAAAAAGCTATTGTGTACCCAAGGAGTCAATCGAATGGCTCAAAAATTTGCCCACGGCCAGGACAGATGTCGGGTAAGCAAACAGTGTCTCAAAATTTTTGGATTTGCTCTGGTCCGTCTTTTATAGCCAAATACAGCTATGAGAGGGAAGAAAAATTGTTTGCCAATTTTTGACAGGGTACAGTTTCAAGGGGAGGAGGAATTTGAAAAATCTCAGACAAATTTTGGTAGCTTAGGATCTGCGCGTTCTGCTGATATAAATCAGATTTTGATACCTAAAACGCAAGGGTACAAAATAGCTTTTGAAGATGGTACACTCATTTAAGCAATAATTTGCCTGGAAAATATAATTTATCATATTTGCCAATTATTTTGATATGGTTGGAATCACCATGTTTTTGTGCATCGAATGATGTATAGTGTAATCTGATTCCATCAATAGTTTGATTTTTAGGGAGAGAAAACCAAATATCGTGTCAAAAATGTTTACCGTAACCTTTATAGGAATACGGCGTATCCTAAAACTTTTCAAAAAACAGAATCATTCACTTCTTTTGCAACCTCTTTTTCGAGGTTCGAAGATTTCCTCCTCTTCTTCCGGAATAAAATATCAATAAACTGAATTATCAAATAAATCAACTCAAGTACAGAAAAAATTGATGCACCAATCCATATTCCCATCTGGCCTCCAATTTCTCCAACAAACCTTTCAGTAGTATACATTTTAAGTTCAGTTATTTTCTCATACTCCATATCACCAAAGAAGACGCTGATTACAACAGTGTGTTTATGGATCCTTGGGTTCTCTGATGTCATCTTTGCAGTTGATGAATACTTGCGAAATTTCGTTTCTGTACACGGTAGCTCGCAGTTGCAGGAGGCATAATTCGATTCAATGAGCTTTTTAGTAATTTTCAAAGAGCATGAAGCTTCGCTTTGATTTCTTTATAGTTGCTTTTTCATCGCTTTTGGTAAAAGGTGGCTATGCCAAGCGAAGATATAAGAACATCTTTGTGAAACTTGGCTAAGGAGGCAAGACAATCTGCAGTTGCTAACTGTATAATCACCTTTGAAAAGCAGCTTCATGTTTTCGCCATTTGTGCATTTTGATGGGTAAGGAGGTTTAAGCCTCGTAATCTCGGTCTTTTTCATTTCAATAAAAGTCTGATGGCCGATTGGAGCAAGAATTCTCCCAGAATCCAGAGACGGAAATTGTTTGTGATCTTGTATGAGAACATGAACGGCGTCTGTTGGAGAGTTAAAAAGATGTACTCCATTTGATAAATTTACAAATAAAATAATATCGAAGGTGAACCCAAGATTAACCGATTTTTGTATGGCAGTTCCATTCGCATTTATTTTGTAGCAGTAACCTCGGTTGGCCACAAGCACTCTTTCGATGGCAATGTCATTTACGTCAGGGTTGATAATAAACATGGTGTTGTTATCATATGCTAGATCTTCTAGAGAGAAAACTTTCCCTAATATGTCATCGATGTTGTCTATAAGTCCAATCCGGTTATATTTGACGGTTAGGTTTTTCTCTTTTGCGAATTTTGTGACTTTAGCTTTACTAAAGCTTGGTCCGCATACAGTTATGGCTGGCATTTTCATTTCAGATACCCTAACAGTTTCTACTTTTGTTAAAGACGGGCTTTTGAAGTATCTCCGTACTGTTGGCGTCACTGTCAAAATTACAAGTGATATGAAGAAAAGCATTAGCAACAGCCAGATGCATCGCATTGCCTTTGATTTGGTCGAAAGCAATCTTCCGAATCCATGCATGGTCAAATTCGCTGCTGATTCTTTCAACTCGTTTGCTGTTCTTTGATCCATCTTTAAAGTTGTTAATAACCGCGATTTTTGTTACCGCTTGCTCTTTCCTGTGGGTTTCTTTCCTTCGGGTTTCTTTCCTTCGACAACTGAGCAGAAAATTGGAATCTTCTTGGTATCTCTATCCAACCTCTGTTCTAGAAGCACAACGTTCTGTCAGTGCACCGTTCAGGGTTACCAATAGGCTCTGTGGCGTGATATGATTGGGGAATTAGCTTTACGTTGCCGATTTGACACTTAACGATTGATCTATTGTATAGTCCAATCAATGGGAAATTGAATGGCCATGGAAATCAGTTGAAGAATAGTGCCTTTACGGAGGTGTTAATTGAACGAACAATCATTATTCAAGTACCGGCAATTCCATTTTACTAGATGCATCTGCCATTTAATATGGCCTAAAATACCACCCGAAAATTGTATTAATGGAAGTGAGATATATGCAATAACTGGTTTCCCGATATCTAATTGAATGAATACCACATGTGCGATAGAACAAATAACGAATTTTTCATATATGAATCGATTAATATAAAAAGAACATGAAAAGGAACAGTGATCCAAGGTTTGCCGTTGATTTGCTGCTGCTGAATATGGTCTGGTGCGCATAAATCTTTTCCGTACTTGAACTGATTTTCTTGTTCGTTTAGTTTGCGGTTTTTTGTGCCGGGAGAAGAGAAAGGAACATTTTTATCTCGATAAATGTGTAAGAAGTGACTGATTCTGTTTTATGAAAGTTCGTAATAATTGTAGAATGCTTTCTAGTCACCATTCCTTTTGTAAGCAAACCCCCAGACTGCCAATTATGGGGTCTGGGAGCCGTGGATAGCGGGGAGGGAAAGTAGGGAAAAGAATATAGAAATCCAAAAATTATGAAAAATATTTCTGTTAACATAGATTATTGTTAAACTGTCCAATTGGGATCAGAATGGGATTTTAGGAATCGTCAAGAGTAGGAGGGAATTGGAGTGTCAAATCGGCAACGTAAAGCTAATTCCCCAATCATATCACGCCACAGAGCCTATTGGTAACCCTGAACGGTGCACTGACAGAACGTTGTGCTTCTAGAACAGAGGTTGGATAGAGATACCAAGAAGATTCAAATATTCTGCTCAGTTGCCGAAGGAAAGAAACCCGAAGGAAAGAAACCCGAAGGAAAGAAACCCAAAGGAAAGAAACCCAAAGGAAAGAGCAAGCGGTAACAAAGTTCGTTGTTATTAACAACTTTAAAGATGGATCAAAGAACAGAAATTGACTTGAAAGAATCCGCAGCGAGTTTGACCATGCATGGATTCGGAAGATTGCTTTCGACCAAATCAAAGGCAATGAGATGCATCTGGCTGTTGCTAATTCTTTTCTTCATATCACTTGTAATTTTGACAGTGATGCCAACAATTCGGGGCTACTTCAAAAGCCCGTCTTTAACAAAAGAAGAAACTGTTCGGGTATCTGAAATGAAAATGCCAGCCATAACTGTATGCGGACCAAGCTTTAGTAAAGCTAAAGTCACAAAATTCGCAAAAGAGAAAAACATAACCGTTAAATATAACCGGATTGGACTTATAGACAACATCGATGACATATTAGGGAGAGCTTCCTCTCTAGAAGATATAGCATATGATAACAACACCATGTTTATTATCAACCCTGACGAAAATGACATTGCCATCGAAAGAGTGCTTGTGGCCAACCAAGGTTACTGCTACAAAATAAATGCGAATGGATTTTTCGTACAACGCTCGACTGATATCGAGAAATTTCTTTTCATAGGATTGTTCCTAAATATATCAGATGGAGTATATTTACGTAGGTCTACAACGGACTCCGTTGAAGTGAACATACAAGATCACAGACAACTTCCATCACGGGATTCTGGAACGGTTCTTGCTCCAGTAGGTCATCTGACCTCTATTGAAATTAAAAAAACTGAAATTAAGAGGCTAAAACCTCCGTACCCATCAAAATGCACAAATGGCGAAAACTTGAGACTGCTTTTCAAAGGTGATTATTCGATTAGCAATTGCCGACTGTCTTGTTTCCTTATCCAAGTTTCTCAAAAATGTTCTGGTATCCACTTTTTTGATAGCATCCTTTTACCAAAGGCGATGAGAAAGAGGCTCGCAAGAAATGAAAGCGAATTATCATGCACTTATTCAATTTATGAAAGCCTCTATAATTCGAATTACGCTTCCTGCAACTGTGAACTACCGTGTACAGAAACAAGATACAATAAATATTCATCATCTGCAAAGCTAACATCTTCTGATCCAAGTATCCATAAGCACATCGTGGCTATTAACGTCTTCTTTGGGGGTATGGAGTATGAGAAAATAACTGAATTTAAAATGTATACTACTGAAAGGTTTGTTGGAGAAATCGGAGGCCAGATGGGAATATGGATTGGTGCATCAATTTTTTCTGTATTTGAGCTGATTTATTTGTTCGTCCAGTTTGCGGGTGTTTTTTGCCGGAAGAAGAGAAGGAAATCTTCTAACCTCGAAAAAGGGATGTCAAAAGAAGCGAATGATTCTGTTTTATGAGGTCGTCATAACAATTGTAGAATACTTTCTATGCACCTCACTTTTATAAGACTACCTTCTAATGATAGGCTGCTAATGATAGGGAACTTGAGTATGTGGAGAAAGAGGAAGCAAACTAGAGAACCAGAAAGGAGAGAAGGGTAACCCTTTAATTTTCAAGATCCAATTTTTCTTGTTTGAATCAGGATGGAATGTGCGAAAACTATCAAGAGTGAAGGGGATTGGATGGTTAATGATCCGAAGTTTGCCTGTAAACAGACATCGATTTCCATGTCATATGACACTTCGCTTCCAACAGGCTGTATTATCGCAAGGGATGTTTTCGATGCATCTCAATTTGATATCAACCCTTTTATAGAAGGGCATTAGTTTTCAATTCCAGCGTAAAAACGATCTCGAGACAACTTTTGTAGGCAAAGAGACCGGGAAGTTTAAGCTTTAAGTATTAAGCTAAGAACTATGAAACTCCATTTTCAAAAATAA